CAAAATGGGTCACTCCATACCGACCAATGCCACAGCTACAGCTGAAGCAACTGCTCGCCTCTTCTTCGACCACATCATCACCATCCACGGCATCCCCGCTACACTCATCTCAAAGAGAGACCCCAAATTCACGAGTAAGTTCTGGAAGGAGCTCATAGGATAACCAGTGCTAGTGTCGTTTCACGAACGCTCCCGAAATGTCCCGCGTAAGGTACGTCATGAAACTCCTCCAATAGGATCTGCCGTAGCGGGGCGTAATTTGGTACACAAATCTTTCCTGAACCCTTCCTTACCCCTAAGTCTTTCTCCCACTGTAATAGCTTCTTAGTCCGTGCTGTAGCGATCTCTGCGTCCACGGAGTACCCGTGTTGGAATAGACCCTTGAGCAGAGGGTTCATCCCTTCGAGCTGGATGCCTGCTACATGTCCGGGGCGGCTCAACGCGTCTGCCTTGTTGTGTAGCCCGGGCTTGTAGACGATGTCGTAGTGGAAGTCAGTTTCCAAGAAGTCCACCCACCGCACCTGTCGTCGTGAGAGCATCGGCTGCGACTTCAGGTATTTGAGACTGCAGTGGTCAGTATAGACTGTAGTCTTGGCTCCCTCTAGGTAACACCTCCACGCCTTGAAGGCTATGACTATCGCTAAAGCTTTCTTGTCATGGATGGGGTAGTTTAGTTCTGCTCCGTGTAGCTTCTTACTGAGGTAGGCGATGGGCTGCAAACCGCGTCCGTGATCCTGCATCAGTACTGCTCCGACGGCTTGGTCACTAGCGTCTGCTTCCACCACGTAGTCCTTGTCTGGAAACGGTAAGATGAGTACTGGGGCTGTGGTCAGTGCTATCTGTAGCTGCTCCATGGCTTGCTGATGAAGGGTAACCCATTTGTAGGGCGTATCCTTTTTTATTAGGTCGGTCAGTGGTGCTGCTATCTTAGCGTACTGCGGCACAAACTTGTTGTAGTAGTTGGCGAAGCCTAGGAATTGCTGCAATTCCTTCACGTTCTCCGGTACTTTCCACTTCTTGACGGCTTCGATCTTCCGCGGGTCCACGTGTACGCCCTCGGCACTCACCATGTGCCCGAGAAACTGCACCTTCTTCAGGGCGAAGTCGCTCTTCGACAGCTTCACGTAGAACTTGTTTTTCCGCAGGATCTCGATCACCTTCCGCAGATGCTCCACGTGCTCCTTCATGTTCTTGGAGTAGATGACGATATTTTCAAGGTACACCACTACGCACTCGTCTAGCAGGGGCCGTAGAATATGGTTCATTTCCGCCTGGAACATCGCTGGTGCGTTGCAGAGTCCGAACGGCATCACCAAGTATTCGTAGGAGCCGTATCTTGTACGGAACGCCGTCTTGTGGACCGAGTTGTCTGCCATCTTGATCTGTCAGTAACCCGACCGTAGGTCCAGCTTCAAAAAGAGTGTTGCACCATGCAGTTGGTCCAGTAGGTCGTCTATGCGCGATATGGGGTATTTGTTTTAAACTGTCTGTTTATGTGCGCGGTAGTCGATGCACATCTGTAAACTGCCGTCTGGTTTTGGAGTGAAGAGGACAGGTGCACCGTAGGGAGAGGTGGATGGGCGGAACAGTTGTCTGTCCAGTAGATACTCTATCTGTTTCTTCATGTCTGTCAGTTCGGTCGGACTCAGTCTGTATGGTGCGCGTGAGACGGGTTTCGCACCTGGTTCCTCCATGATCTCGTGCTCGTGGGTGCGTGCAGGGGGTACGCCTGCAGGTAGGTCGTCGGGCATTATATCCTTGTACTGCTCCAAGACCTCCTTCACTGCTGCAGATAGCTCCGAACTCGGCTTCTCCTCCTCTGCTGCTGCCATAACCAGTGCTAAGTAACCCGTGTTACTCTCGTTCACCGTCCGTTCGAACCGCGCCAGTGTCGTTTCATGTATGTTACCTGTATCCGTCCAGCTTCGCAGCTCCACTCGTTTCCCGTTGTTGTAGATGCACGCCTTCCTGTTGACCTAGTTGATCTCGGGGTTGAACCGCTTCAAGAAATCTCGCCCCAAGATGAAGTCTAAACCCTTGATGTTCGTGATCGGCAACGTCGGCTTCCACCTCAGCGCCCCTATGTGCAGCTGCAGTGATGCTTCGCCATGGATGGGAAGTTTCGTACCGTCCACCATTGTTGCCGAGAACTTGGTCTCCTCTGAAGATTCTCCATTTTTCTCCAACGTCCCACGGTCGCACACCGAGTGGGACGCACCACTATCCACCGTTGCCTGGAGGCGTCGCCCATTGCAGATCACCTCGAGTAGTAGTGGTTTTTGCTGCTCCGAGTAACCATAGATGGTCTCGCTTATAGGATCGTAGGGTACGTCAAATGGATCATCCCTCGGTCCTGCGCTCAAAGCTGCTGGCTCCATATCAGTTTCCTTTTTTTTTTTTTTTTTTTTTTTTTTTTTTGATATAAGTACACTGCCAGCATACATACATCCGCAGTCGTAACTGTTGCTAGGAGGGCATGGAGAGGCTACGAGTACCCAAGTAACCAGAGCCCCCCTTATCCTTTTACGGAGGTTGGAATGCTACACCACCATCTTCCCAGATTGCCTTAAAACCCGCTCTCCACGTCATCGAGGCCTCTGTCTCATAGAGTCTGCGCATAGCGCCTGCTTCGTCAGCATTCAGGTGGCTCCAGTCACCCGTCCTTTTCGAAACATTCATGCCAGCCTTTTTCTTCCGCGCTCTGCTGTAGATCTTCACGTGCCTCGTGAACCCAACTGCTATGCGCCTCAAAGCTCTCTTTGGCTGGAACCGGCTACCTCGGAAAACCGCGTTGCACCTCTCCAGCCAAACTTGGTGCGCTATAATAGATATGATTGCCGCCTCAGGGAAACCAGTCGACGTGCCACTCCTTTGGAAGAGCATGTCCCCGAGAGATCGCATGTCCCTGCCCGGATTCATACACTGAACCACTTTCCTCATCACCTCCACCACAGGTTGGATCGTCGGGCAACTGAAAAGGCAGTGATCCTGCGATTCGACTCCACCACAGTGCGTGCATTTTGCCCTCGCGCCCAAGAAGGGGAGCCGTTCTCCTACTTGGAGGTTGTGACTGTGCACCCTCAGTATCACTTCCCGTGCCCTGCATGGGGTTGCCAGTGAGTCACAAACCGTGATAGCCTTCCCCCAACCGATCTTCCTCCCCAACTCCTCTTCCCACTTCAGCTGCTGTTTCGGTTGCGCCACCGAGGGTTTCATCGCCTTCCTCAGCTTCTTTGGATCAGCCCGCTCACCTTTCTCACAGATTGTGGAGTAGAGTAGTCGCGTTCTTGGAGCGCCGAGTAAGCCGCGGGCCCTCCCATCTATGACTGCCATAGGTGAAGCGCGTCGAAATTCCACCGTTACCACGCTAGCGTACTCCACCTCGCCTATGTTCCCTTTCTTGTCCACCGTCACTCTCCGACCGTAAAGCTCGCCGTTGCTCACATATTGCAGCTGGTAATAAAAGAACTCTCCTGGGCGGTAAGACGCAGAGCGGACCAGCCTCGTTTCCCTGAAAAGTTCCTTTGCCGACAGTTGGTTGAGTACCAGATCCTTCCATCCCTGTGGTGTCGCATCCCACGCCTTCAGGGCCCATTTCCTTTGCTCCACACCTCCGAGTTCCCTCTCCAGAACCTCATCACTCTTACGAGATCTGCTGCCATCTCCTCCTTTCGCCACCAAGTCTCCTAATTGGATGCCCTTTAGGCAAAGCGAGCCCGCCTGATTTCCGAAAGGTGATGTGCCTCTGAAGAAAATACAGCGATTGAAAAGTAACTGCTCCTCCTCTGCGTCCCACCTGTGTGCCGGATCTCCTATGGTCACCAATTTTGAGTCCAACAGTGCTTTAACAGTGGCTTTCCATCTCGTGCCTCCCCCGAGCCAGGACTTCAGGACCGAAGGGTGCGCGTAGATCGTGGCCAAGCCGAGGGGAGAAACCGCCGCCATGCCCAGGCTGCTCCAGTCTGTGTAGAGCACGAACGGCTTGTCCCTCTCTGGAAACATCAGCACAGGGCTTGTTTTCACCGCCCCCAGCAGGTCCCTCAGGGCTGCGTCTTCTTCCCCTCCCCACTTCCACGTGGTGGTCTCTTTCAGCAGCTGGTTCAGTACGCTTGCCCTCTTGCTGAAGTTGGGCACGAACTTCCTGTAATAGTTCAAGAAGCCCAGGACCGCTCTCAGCCTGCTGCGGTCCGTTGGCACCACCACCTTGTCCAAAACCGCCACCTTCGCTTCTTGGACTGACAGCGTTCCATCCGACACTTCGAATCCCAGATACTTCATGGTGCTCTCTCCGAACCTGCACTCGCCCGGGTGGCAAGTCAGCCCTGCTTCCATGATTGCCCCCAGCACCCTCTCCATATCCGCCACGTGCGACTCGGGGTCCTTGCTGAAGATGATTACATCATCAATGTAGCATGCTGCACAGTCCACATCCCTTAGCACCCTATCCATCACTTGCTGGAAGAAGGCTGAGGAGTTCCGCATCCCGAACGGCATCCCGTTCCATTCCCAGAGCTCGTCCACTCCATGGAATGCTGTCTTGGCGCGATCCTCTTCCCTGATCGGGATTTGGTTGAAGCCTTGTCGCAGATCCAGGATGGTGAACACCACTGCTCCCACGATCTTGTCAAATATGTCTTCCGGCGTGGGCATGGGGTACCGGTTGGCCTTGGTTATCTTATTCAAGTTGCGGTAATCCCCGCACATCCGCCTGGACAAGACCTCTCCCGCCGCATCTTTGCGCGCAGCGATCACCGTCGCTGCTGCATACTCGGATGTTGACCGCCGAATCAGCCCTGCCTCGAACAGCTCCTTGCATTTCTCCTTGCAAAGGTCCTCATCTGCTCTGGTCATCCTCCGCTTCCGTTGGAAGGTCGGCGTGTTTGAGATCAGGTCTATCTTCATCTCCCCGATCTTACTCCTTCCCAGCTCCTTCAGCGTATAGGCGAAGGCCTTCCTGTGCCTTCTCAGCATCTCTCTCATGCGTTCGGCTTGCTCTGCCGTTAGCCCCACCCTGATCGTCCATGTTGCCTCCGCTTGCCCGGCTCCCGCAGCAGCTTGCTCTGCACGGGCCTCCTGAGCTGGCGTTGCCCTCTCCCTTCGTCCGGCTCCTGCGGCAGCTTGCTCTGCACGGGCCTCCTGGGCTGGTGTTGAACAGCAGGGAAATGAGGGGACGCTGGGTGGGAAATGAGGGAAAGCAAGGGAGGAAAGCCAGGACAGAGAGGAAGGGAGGATGTGCGGAAGAGAGGAAGGGAGCAAGGGAGGAGATTGGACGAGGGAGGGAACAAGGGACTAGCAGGGAGAGAATAGGGGGCTAACAGGGGGGAAGCAAGGGGCTAGCGGGGAGGGGGGACAAATGTATAGCAGGGGGAAAAGTGGTAGGAGATCGGAAGAGGGGGAAGAGGAGAAGAATGAGATAGGAAGAGGGGGAGGAGGAGAAAAAGGGAGACAAGGATTTGGGGGGATAGGGAAGATGGGAGAGGGAAAAGAGGAGATTGGACAAGGGAGGGAGGAGACGGAAGGGAGCAGATTGGACGAGGGAGGAGAGAGAATGGAGGAGACTGGAAGAAGGAGGAGAAGGAATGGAGGAGACTGGAAGAGGGAGGAGAGGAGAGGAACAGGGCAAGTAGCGGGGGACAATGAAGGAAATGAGAGGAAAAAAGAGGGGAAGGAGGGGCATTTCTAGCGAGGAGGTAAGTAGGCGAGGAGCAGCAAGGCAGTGGCGTTGGTGATGCTGCTGCTCCACGCTGACAGATGGCGCAAGTGGACCAGCGACTGGAGGGGGGAAAGGGAAGGGATGGGGGGGGGACGGAAAGAGGACAGTGAGAGTTGGGGAAGGTGAGGAGAGGGGCAGAGGCGTTGGTGATGCTGCTGCCCCACACAGACAGATGGCGCAAATGAACGAGGGTCTGGGGGAAGAGTGGGTGGGGTTGGAGGGGCAGAGGGGTGGGAGAAAGGGTGGTAACGAAGTTGATGCATAAAAGAGCACACGGGAGAGATTGAGTGGTAGAGGCGTTGGTGATGCTGCTGCCCCACACAGACAGGTGGCACAAGTGGACCAACGAAGACGCACCCGAGAACATGCAGCTAAGTGAGCACCTGAAGAAGCACCTGAAAGAGCACCTAAAAACCACCTGAGGAAACACCTGCGAGAGCACCTGAGGGATCACCTGAGAGAGCATCTCAAGGATACCTGAGAGCATGCTGAGAGCAGATTCTGTGACGTGGTGACAGTTGTCAAGCCGGAGGGAACCAAGGCAGCAAAAGTCTGCCAGGTAGGCAAGAACAGCCTGCGAAAGGGGTGGGATGGGGTGGGGGGACGAGAGGAGTGGAGGGGCATGTGCATGTCACTCGTGGTCCACGTGGTCCGCTGAGGGCGCGAACAGCCTGGCGAGGGATGGGGGACTAGGGGGATGGACGAGACGTGAGGAACAGCGCTTCTATGTCTCTCTTGTTACCAAATGGAATAAATACCAGTGTGATACAGGAGAGGTCCACGTGGTGCGCTGAGGGCGCGAACAGCCTGTGGGTGGGGTGGGGGGATGAGACGAGAGGAGGGAATGAGGGGAGGAGACGAGGGAGGGAGGCGAGGGAGGGGATGAATGTGCTGTGCAGGGACGGAGAGCGGGTCCACTACCACCACTGCCGCCAGACTGCCCACGCTGCCCGGGTCGACCACCGTGCTTCGCCGGGGTGACGTAGTTCATCTGCGCCAGGGTCTCCTGGGACTGCTTAGCCTCCTTCACCGCCTCATCGTGTAGGATGTACAAGGTCAAGGTGTCCTCGTTGAGCGTCGCCCGCGTGCTCGGTGCCATCGACAGCCGCTTCAATAGGTTGTAGCTGCTCTGGAGACCCTGCATGACGTGCGTGACGTACCAAGCCGTCCAGTACTGCGCGCCGGCCATCCTTATGGTGGCAAGAATTCGCCAAGCCTGGTTGACGTCACGGGCATGGGTGGTCTTTTGGCTGAGCAAGTCCAGCATGATCCATGCTTTGTACTCGTGGCTGATGCCAAGGTGAATGCCCCATCACGTGCGGCTAGCGAATTTGCCGATAGTTGAAGTTGGCTAGCGATATTGCACCATGCACCCCCACACGCGAAGCACGGTCGTGTCCCCCTTAGTTCCGGTCCATTTCACATGCGGGGACAGATTGCCGGTGATCGCAGTCGTCGATAGTAGGTTGTGCATACGTACAACGTGGTGCATCGCGTAGGTCCAGTAGATCGGCGATAGCTTTGATTGCTTCATCAGCGCCCGCACCTTTGTCATAAGCGTGCGATTCGTTCGCTCGGCTACGCCTTGCTACTGGTGCGCGTAGGAGAGAGAAATATGATGCTCGATGCCCTTGTGTGCCGAGAAATTCTGCAGCTCCTTTCTCCTGAACTTTGCTGCGCCGTCCGACTGCCAGATCTTCAGTTTCTCCCCAGATTGCCGCTGCGCGTGCGCCAGCATGAGGCGAAATACTTGGTACACTCTGCTCTGCGCTTCCACGTTCACGACCCACACGTAGCGCGTCCCAGCGTCGATGATGGTGAGCGTATACAGCTCGTCATTGAGTCCACAATGTCCCACGTTCAGGAAGTCGCTGTACACCTTGTATAGTTTGGGGTAGTGGTTAGTTCCTGGCTCGAGTAGCGGGAACGGCTGGTGGCTCAGTACGGCTTCAGGGCAGATGGTGCAATTGCAGGGGATGTGTCGCGCTTCTTACTTCGGTGCCGTTGGGGTGCAGGAGTGCGCCCGGAGCGAAAACTCCTACGTCAATGTAGTTTTTCAACGTCGCGCGTGAGGGGTGCCCGAGGCGCTGGTGCCAGAGTGCATCGTCAGCGCGAAAGCCGGAGGTGCGCATGTAGCGCGCGCGAGCTTCTTTGGGGTCTTTGTCAGGTACAGAGGCAGGTTCTGCTGCTGCTTCTTTTGCTGCTTCTTCTTCGTCGTTGGCGGTGGTTAAAATCAGCGCCAAAAACTCTCTGTCTTGGATTTCAGAGGAGATGTTGGTCCCAGGGATAGTTCTAGGGACGAAGGTAGGTTCGTGCGGTTCGGGAGCAGGTCCATAAATGGTACGGCGCGGGGTTGACAGTTTGTTACCCCAATCGATGGTGTCCCAGTGATCGTGGTGTGGCGGAATGTCAGGAGGAGGTAGCGCGGGTGGAGCACGGCGCGGGGGGCGACCTAGGGGAACAACTGCAGGTGTTTCCTCGGCTTCTTCTCCCCCCTTTTGTTCTTCGCGAGAAGTCCCCCAGCCGCTACCATCGTCGCCAGTTGCAACGCCCCATCCGCCGCTCGCGGTTGCCCAAGTGCCGCCGGTGTTGCCCCATCCGCCAGTGTCACTCGTCTCCCATCCGCCAGCGCTTCCCCACCCCCCTTCATTGGAGGCGCTCTCTTCTTCTTCGGCTCCCCATGCGCCGCAAGTGAATGTCCCGTGTGCTTTGGCGAGGCTTTGTCGGCAAAGATTCTCAGCTTCGCGGCGCGCCAATTCTTCTTCTTGTTCCACGGTAAGCCTCTTCGTGGAATCGCGCCGATGAGATTAGATCTCCACAAACTTCTCTCGTCTGTAGGGTCGCGGCACGTTGTGCGCATCGAAGGCGCTGACGCCAGCGCCGTGCAGCATGCCTTGGAGATGCTGCGATGCTGGTCTAGTGAGGGGATGTTCTGGCGTGCCGAAGATGCCACGCGTTGTTACTTCGAGCTCCAGCTGCAACATCCCTTCGTCTGGCGGTGCATGTCGCTCTGCTTCGGCGATGGCGGCAAGCCCACACCCAGCAATCGCGCTCGTTGATGCCGTTGCAGCTCGAAATGAAGAACGCCTTCCTACAGAGTAAGCTCGACAGGCTTGATAAGCTCTCGCGCGAGCAGTTTCTGAAGTTCGACACACCGCACCTCGTCACACCGCGACTGGCGCTGCTCACACGTGACAATAGGAAGCGCTACAATACCTGGTACCTCGACAGCTGCTGCGGCTAGCACATCGAGGCTCTGAGCGTTACATATCCAATGCCGTTGCCATGCCCACTGTCACTACGTCGCAGTGGCCAACAATACGCGCTTGCACGCAAACGCGCAAGGCATCGTCGTGCTCAAGGCACGAGGAATCCGCACGCACATCACACTCAACGATGTGCTCATCGTCCAGAATCTGCGCTTCAACCTACTTTCCGCCGCACAGCTCATGGACTACGCCGTTGACCTCAGCACGGATCGCGCGACGCGTGACATCCTGCTACACTACGAGTCAAACAACTTCCCCCCGCAAGCAGATTGGAACAGCGCACTCCGAAAATGGAGTGTACATTTTGGATTTCGACATTTCTGACTGCATCGGCGATTCGAATGAGTTGATTGACCTCGTTCCACTGCGCTTCGAGCACATCCACCATAGGGACTGGAAGCACCCTGACGGAAGACCGTGGGTGCCGAGGTCAAGGACGGCGACGATGCTGAGGAAGATTCTCAGCATGACGTAGCTGCTCACCGGCGCGTATGTCTCGTCATAGTTAGCACCGTACACCTATGTGAAGCCCTTCATGACCAGCCTTGCCTTATCACGCTCTACGGTGTCGTCGATGCGGTACTTCGCCGTCAGCACCCACCGGTTCTTCATTATGTTCACCCCGGGTGGGCGCTCAACGAACTCCCATGTGCCCATGCTGATGAGGCTGCGGATCTCCTCCGCCATGGCGGCCTTCACCGCCTCGCCCTTCCAGCTCGCCAACACCTCCTTTACCGTCATCGTGGAGATGTCCCAACGGTGCTCAGGGTCGGCGTGCACATCGGGGTTGAGCTCGGGCAGGTCGCCATCATCCTTGGCGTCATCGTACGCCAGGTCGTTATCGTCGACGTCGTACACCGTGGTGAAGGCGGTTGGGACGAAGAAGTTGGGAGGCCTTCGAATTCGGCCTGTTCGCCTAGGTCCAGGGGGGCCTCCACCACATCGTTGTTGGTGGACTCATCGCGGTCCCGCGGTCTCGCGGCCCCCCGCGGTCCCAGGGTCCTGCACCCGACGCCCGCGGTCCCGCAGCCCCCGCGGGGGCTGGCGTCCGAATGCTCCCCATCGTCATCCCCGGCGTCACTGCCCTCAGCGTTCGGCTGCACGACGGTCGGCGACCCTGCTGACTTCTCCCCTGTCTTCGGCTCCCCTGCCAACTTCCCGGGTATCCACTGCTCCGCGGTTGGCTTAGCTGCTGCCTGCTCCCTTGTCAGCTGCATGCTAGCCGCGGTCTCCTCTGCCAACTGCACCAAAATCGGCTGCACTTCCGCTGCCCGCTTCTCCCCGGTCGACGGCAACTTTACGTCAAAGCCGACTGGCTGAGCGTGACGTCAGCCACCTGCGATGCTCTTGGTTGGCGCCACAGGCGACGCCCCACTGCTCCCCTCATTGCCGGAGGCCGACACCGGAGTCAGTCCACGTAGGTCGACGGGAATGGGACGGGAAGGAGGGGCAGGGGAAGGCGAGGTAGGGGCGACCACGACATCCTCATCAGCTTACTCACCAACCTTGACGGGTAGAGGAAGCGTCGCCGACGAGGTGTCCGTCAGCGGGTTGGCCTGCGTCCGCCCCGACGCTGGCCCGAGTTCCGACTTCCACACCTCCAGAGACATAGTTAGGTAGAACACCACGTCCGACGTGGTGACCACCCGGTTGTCGGCGATGTCGAGGAGCTCCCAACCCTTGCTCTCCTCCGACACACCGAGGTGCAGGCCCCACCTGGCCTTCGGCTTCAGCTTCCCACCACGTTGCTGCTCAGAGACCAGGAACTACGCCATGCAGCCCCATACGCGGGCCAGCAACAAGTCGGGCTTCTTCCCGGTGAGCAACTGGTATGGCGTCGTCCCCGGCGGCAGCAACGACCGCTCCAAGCAGTTGCGAACCCAAACGGCCTGCCGCAGAGCAAGATGCCACTAGTGGTGCTGCACGCCCATGTGCAACAGCATTGTCTGCACCAACACCACCACCGTCCTCATCTCCCGCTCCGCCATGCAATTCTGCTACGGAGTGTACGAGCCGGTCAGGTCGTGGACAATCCCCTTGCCGTCGACGAAGGCGGTGAAGTCCTTCCCGAGGAACTCCCCTCCTCGGCTAGAACGCAGTTGCAGCACCGACTTCTTCGTCTGCCGCTCAGCCACCGCCAGCCACTGCATGAACTCCCGCAGCACGTCCGACTTCTTGGCGACCAGCCTCACCCACACGTAGCGGGTCTTGTGGTCCT